TTATTTGAAAGGCAGAGTGACAGAGAGAGAGAGGGAGATCTTTCATCTGCTGGTTCAGTACTCAAATGCCCACAATGGCTAGAGCTGGTTCAAGGTGAAGACAGGAGTCTGGAGCTCCATCCAGGTCTCTGAGGTGGGTGGCAGGAGCCCCAGCACTTGGGTCGTCAGGTGCTGCTTTCCCAGGTGCATTAGCAGGGAGCTGGATCGGAAGCAGAGCAGCCAGGACCCAAACCACATTCTAGTATGGGGTGCCGGTGTTGCAAGCTGTGGCTTTACCTGTTGCTCCACAGTGCCTGTTCTGGTGTGGGTCTTCTTTGATTCATATTATTAAAGGATCTGTTGGACTTCCTGAATCTGAATTTCTGTTTCCTCTCCTAGATTTGGGTTCACCAATAATGCATAATCATGCCACTTGATGGTGTCCCCTAAGTTCCTTAGGCTGTCCTCACTCTTTTTTGTTCTTTCCGCTTTTCCTTCCTCAGATTTCATGATTTCAGTGATCTGTCTTCAGGTTTGCTAATCCTTTCTTCTATTTGATCTGATCTGATGTTGAATCCCTCTACAGAGTTTTTAATTCTTCAGCATGACAATTTTGGTTTGGTACTTTTTTTAATATATTTTTTACCTATTTGTGAGGTTCTCAGTTTGTTCATGCATTGCTCTCCTTACCTCAGTAAGCATCTTTATGACTGTCTTGCATTTGCTGTCAGGTCAATCCTATATCCCCATTTCAACAGAGTTGGCTTTCTGGAGTTTATCTTGTTCTTTTACTTGGAATACTCCCCTGTTTCTTCATTTTCCTTGACTTTCAATTTCTGCACTTCCAATATTGGAACCCTCCCAGCGCTGTGGTGCAGTGGGTTAATGCCCTGGCCTGAAGTGCCAGAATCCCATATGGGTGCTAGTTCTAGTAACGGCTGCTCCACTTCCAATCCAGCTCTCTGCTATGGCCTGGGCCCCTGCACCCTCGTAGGAGACCAGGAAGAAGCTCCTGGCTCCTGGCTTCAGATCAGCACAGCTCTGGCCGTTGCAGCCATCTGGGGAGTGACCCATCGGATGGAAGACCTCTCTCTCTCTGCCTCTCCTCTCTCTGTGTAACTCTGACTTTCAAATAAATAAATAAAATCTTAAAAAAAAATATTAGAACCCTCTCTCCAAGTCTTGGCAGATGGGTCTTGTGTGCACAATGCTCCTTCCCAGTCAGCCCTGCTGGAGATTCTGGGTGCCTCTCAAGTCTTTGTGCTGGCCCAACCCGTGGTCTTTGTTCTTAGTGGTCCCCAAGAAATTAGAGCATGTCAAGTCGTGCTATTTCCTTGGGAAAAAAGGGATAGAATTCAGTGCCTTGGGATGCAGCTGGAGAGGTTGGGGTGTTAGATGTGTGTTCAAGTTTCTCATTTCCCTGCAGGGAGGCTGGGAGTCAGAGATTATCTGCCAGTCATTTTGCCTAAGAGGGTCCGAAGCAGATGCCTTTACTCTTGATCAGACTGTTCACTTTGAGCCTGGGGAGATAGTTGCAGAAGTTTGCAAGTGTAAAAGTCATGCTTTTATTCCCTGTGGTCCAGGAGACTCAGGACTGCGGAGCTCTGTCAACTCCCAGGAGCCAGTCCCTTGGGTGAAGGCTATAAAAGTTAGGGCACCCCCGAAGTTAGAGCAGAAATTACTTCTGGGAGTCTCTCCAGATGCTAATTTATTGCTAGAATAAGCTAGCAAAGGTGTGGAGGAGTGCCCACTCTCTCCTTTGAGCAAGCAGAAGTCTCACATCCTCCATGCATGGTCTGTGGTTATCATTGAAACAAGCCAGGGAGAAAGGCATTGAAGAGCCCCTGCCTTCTTCCAATGAGAGACCACAAGAGTTTATCATTAGAGCCCCCAAGAGGAAGGTGTCAGAGGCTTTCAACCTCTTTTCAGGAGAAATTGCAGAACTGGGATCATCACTGGTTCTAGCTGGGGAAGGAGGCACAGACAAGGGCCCACTCTCCTATTTAAGTAAGCAGAAGCTTCACATCCTCCTTGCAGGAGGAGTCTCCTGGTCCGGAATTGTTGCTGAAGCAAGCAGAGAAGGCACAGAATGGAAAGCATCCCCTGCCCCCAGCGTTTCTAAGGACAGATTGCAGAAATTTATCTCAAGTTATCCAGGAGAGAAGAGCAAGAGGTGCCGTTTCTCCTTGCTCACAAAGGCCTCTACTCTCTGTCTGCAGAGAGATTGTGGAGCTGGAAATGCCGACACAGCAACCTAAGAAGGTTCAGGAGCTGCCTGCTCTCCTGTTCAAGCAGGTAGAAGTTTCACACACTCCTGACAGGGGGTCCTCCGGCTCCGTTGTCACCACTGAAGCAAGCCAGCGATAATGTCCTTTAATAAATCTCTGCTTAAACTAACTTCAGCATATTCCAGCCTTTCCCTTCTGATTCCGCTGACTGAAAGTAGGAAGGAAGAAGGAAAGCAGGGAGGAAGAAGGGAGTACTTTATACACAGCACTTTGGGAAAGCCACGCCAGAAGAAAGGGGGAACTTTGGGCAGAGGAGCGGCGATAGCAGCCGTGTGCGTTCTTGGAGCAGCAGGAATGAAGAAGCAGTTATGATAGTAGATGAGAGTCCCCAAACTTTGCCTACTTTGTCATGTTGCCCGTGGTCCTCACAGGAGCGACTGTGGAACTAAAAGTGATTCCTTAGTTGTCGCTAGTGATTGAAGATTATGTGAGCTATGTGGAGACCATGATTGGTTATGAAAGCTGCAGTGCTTAGTCTTCTCCAATCTGCTCGAGCTCCTCAATGTGTAGAACCTGCATTCCTCTAATGCAGATTAATCCTTCCAGATAACACCTGTTCTTTTCTGGCGAGAAAGAAAAGGAAGAGAAAAGGGATAGGAGCGGGAGGAGCAGCAGTAGCATAAAACAAAGAAGGAAAGGAGGAGGGTAAAATTGCCTGCAGAGAAGAAAATGCTGGGGAGAGAAGAATGGATGCAAATATCTATTTGGCAAAGGAGTAACATTTTCTTCTAATTACATCATCTCTCTTCAGCTTTCCTCTCTCTTTAAGTCATTCATATAAGGCTGAAGATTTTCCCACTTGAAAAGTTTTCCAGAATATATTTGCCAGTAGTGAGATCTTCCTGCAAACACTAATTTAAAATAAATATGGGATTTGGAGAAAGTATGTTAATGTAGACCTTTATCCAACAAACATTTATTGAGACCCTTTATGTGCCAAGCATGAAGCGTGGGATCAGTGCTGAACAAGACAGATAAAGGCTTTAGGAGCTTCCATTGCCACCGAGCTCATCTATACTCTCATGTTTCATAATCTATTAAAATAAATGTCCTCTCTTGAAATCACAGCCATGGTACAATGGTAGTGTAAAGTGCCCATCCCAAGGTTATGTACAGGTAGGCACTTAGTATAATTACTTTGTAATGATGATAGTATTAATACTCCGAGTATAGTCAGGGTGATTTCTTGAACTGTATAAGGCAATGGGAAAAATAAATTTTTGTCAAGAATATTAGAAGGAACTATAAATCAATCAACTGAGACCTTCTAGAAAGACAAATAGTTGTATTTAGCCTGTGAGCATGCTATTAATGTAGTGAAGACACGTCCCTCCCGCTCCTGATATTTCTTACATTTGACAGGAGCCCATCAATGTGCACGTTAGTAAAGTGCTCCCAGTTCTCTGCCAACACTGCACTCATTCTACCCTGGGGACCATCCATGAGTTTGAGAAAAGAAACTAGCATGAACATCTCACATCCTTCCTCTTGGAATAAAGCTGAAGAGAGGGAGCACGTGTCTTTCTTTCTGCTCCTGTAGGAGTGAAGGAAGGGTCTGCCGAGGTCCAGCTGCTTGCACCTGGCAAGCACATCTGAAGAGTTCTGGACTCTGGCTCAGAATCAGCCCTCCATCCTTACTTTATCTGTAATAAAGGTGATTCCTGCCTTACTTACTCTGTCTTATTTTCCCATAGATTTAGAAATCAAGTAAGGAAAATAGTGCTTATTATTGCCACCTAAAATTAAGGAAAGATTGACCCAACAATTAAGTAAGGAAAAATGTAAAAAAAAAAATCAGTGGAAAGAGGTCAACCTCTGACATCAGACCTGGATTTGGAATCCTAGCTTTGTGGTCTTGATTAAGAGATATGCCTAGTATTGTTGCAAAGATGAAAGATAACATAGGTAAGTGTTAAACACAATGCCTGGTATTTAATAAAGAGTAACTGGTAGTGATAGTGATGGCTGTAGCAGTGGTCTTGGATATCCAGTACTGGGATAGTTGTTTTTTTTGTTTTAATTATTTATTGTGCCTTTAGTTCTTGCTTATTTATTTATTTATTTAAGAGAGAGAGAGAGAGAGAGAGAGAATCTTCCCTAAATGCCCACAACAACTGGGGATGGGCCATGCCGAAGCTGGTAGCCAGCAACTCCAGCCAGGTCTCTCACGTGGGTGGCAAAAACTCAAGAACCTAGAGCATTATCTGCTACTTTCCAGGTGTATTAGCAGGAAGCTGTGTGGAAAGCAGAGGCAGCACTCGGATATGGGATTTGGGTGTCTATTCCAAGCACTAGCTTAACCAGCTGTGTCACAAGGCCTGTCCTCAGCACCGTGATAGTTACAAAAGTATATTTCTGCCTTTATGAAAGCTTATTCTTTGGCAAAGATAACATTAAACTTAAAAAATTACCAATTAACCAACAAAACACATCTATTATAAAATATTGCATGTCTTAAAATTTAGTTATGTAGTCATTTCTTTGCAATTCAGAGAAGATAATGTGGACAATGAAAATAAAAGTGAGTATTTCCAATTTGTTATTCCTTTGAGAAAAATGTTGCTAGTAATCGGGTCTTCCTTTAAGTCAGGCATGATGAGGAGTGCTGGGAATAACCGATCAGGCATCTCACGGTTGTAGACTCTTTGTGTTCTCTCATTTTTAAAGTTAATGTTCCATGTAGGAATTGTCTGTGAGTCAACATAAGATATCTGCTTTTTTTTCCCCTTATAGGCATCTTCATGAACAAGGTTTTATCATCCTTGCCTATCTCTGCTGATTTCAATTTATCATTGGCAAAGGTGTGAAGTACTTTGTGGCTGGATAACAGATTTATGAAAAGAACCCAGATATGTTTCTATTATTTTTCTGATGCATGCTTGTCAAGGTTCATTGGGTTTAGAGATTTTCATGTTTAGCTCAAATAAATGAAAAACGCCTATATCAATTTGTGACCCATAACTCTGCTGGAAAATAGCATAAATTGATTTAATTTAGATTATGCTATTTGTTATAAGGACACTCTTCACATTTTCTTTTCTGTCTTGGAAGTTTATTTTTAGAATATTTTCTCTGCAAACTTTTTAGGTATAAAGCAGGTAAGGCTTTCCATAGTTTCCCTTATACAACCCAACTCCAACCTTCCCCAAAGAAAAATAGGGACCAATGAAATGTTAAATACATATCAAGGGAGACATTGCTTATTTTTTAAAATTTTTATTTACTTATTTAAGAGGAGAGATACCCACCCCAATGATCGCATCTGCTGGTTCACTTTCCAAATACCCACAACAGCCAGGGCTAGGCTGCGGCTGGGAATGCAATCCAGGTCTCCCCTGTGCATGGCAGGAGTCCAATTACTTGATCCATCACCACCTGTCTCCCAGGGTCTGCATTAGCAGGGAGTCTGAGTAAGGAGCTGCAGCTGGGTGTCAAACTCAGGCACTAAGAAGTGGAACACAGGAGTCTTAAGGGGCGTCTTAACTACTAGACTAAACACTTGCTAGGAAGACTAAATGGAGGTACTCTCAGAAAGGAGGATGGGTATGGGCACAAGAAGTAAAGTGGAAGGCTAACCCTATTCTCCAAGTAATAATCAAGATAATAATCAGGGGTACTATCTCTAGAAAAGCCCACATCTTTTTTAAGATTTATGTATTTATTTGAAAAGCAGAGGCAGAGAGAGAGAAAGAGAGAGAGAGAGAGAGAGAGAGAGAGAGAATCTTCCATTCACTGGTTCACTCCCCAAATGGCCACAACGGCTGGAGCTGGGCTGATTTGAAGCCGGGAGCCAGGGGCTTCTTCTGGGTCCCTCACACGGGTGCAGAGGCCCAAGCACTTGAGCCCTCTTCTGCTGCTTTCCCAGACCATAGTAGAGAGCTGGATCAGAAGAGGACCAGCTGGGTCTTGAACCAGTGCCCATATAGGATGCTGGCACTGCAGGTGGCGGCTTTACCTGCTACACCACAGTGTCAAACCTCACATCTTTTTAATTACCTGTTCCCTTCTCTATCTTCTCTTAGGCTATCTCTGAGTTACTTCCTAGTCTTTGGACCTGGAAATATTCCACAATCCAGTAGCCACTTAATTCCCAGAACATTAGCCACAATCTGAAATGACATTTGTATTTCTGTTATAGGGGGTTGAGATTGGTGTTTTGTTGGAGTTTTATCACCACTAATCCAGGGGAAAATCAATTCCTGGGAGTTATGAGAGGCACAAGTGGGTAAACTTAGAGTAGAGACCCTCTTTGAGTAAGGTGGCCTTATTATCACTTTTGTATCCCTAACACTTGGCAAACACTGAATACCTAAGGGAAACTTTGATGGGGATAATAGAGAAAGCGTCCATCAAAGCAGAAGTGAGACCTTGCCTCAGTCTGCACTGTCCTCTGACTGTCTAGGAGTCATCAGTAGTTATCACCTCCAGCAGACAGCACCTCCAACTACCTTTCTACCTTCACCAAAGCTAGCATCTGCCCCTCAAGAGACCACTAGATTTTGGAAGACCCCTAAATTGCACATTCCAGGAGCATTCTATCTCTTTGTTTCTTACCTGTTATTCTCCTCATCTAAAGACAGCTTCCTTTAGAGATGTAGTAGATTAGTCTAGATCCAATAAGGAGAGAATCACAGTAACTTGAGAAGGCCAAGTTCAATGTAAATTTGACATAAAGAAGGGAATGACAGTAATGAGGGAATTGTTTGTAAGAAGTAAAGATAATTCTAAAGAATATAGAAATAGCAGATACAAGGAGCTGTTGCTAGGGTTGAGATAGCATGCCAAGAACAACTCCAGCCTCAGCCCACGGGACTGAGACGTTGCCCTTGCAGAGGGCATGGTTGTGACTTGTTGGTGGTAGATAAGTCACTGTGATGCTGCACTTTCTGGAGGCATGTCGCTGGAACTTGTCAGAAATTGACTCTGAGGGTGAAAGCTACTTAGCAAAGGCAGTCCTCCCAAGAGGCTAATGGGGGAAGTTGGTGACTGCTACACAGTGCTGTAGGACCTGTCCAGGGAGCATGTGATCGGGAAGGAAAAGTCATTTCTTCCTGAGATGTCTCATCACCACCACCGTCTGCTGATAAGACTTCAGGGTCAACTGTCAGAAGAAAACTGTATTGAAAGGCCCAGATCCATGTTCATGGAGCAATTTAAAAGACTTACTATGGGGCCAAAAGGCAATAAAATGCTAACTAGCACACAGGTTCCCAAATTTTTCCTAAGAAGCAAGGTGCTCTTTCTTTGAGATGCATTGCCAAGTGCAATCGCTGGTGCATTCTTCACTTCTGTCCTTTTCTACTCAAGAGGCTGCATCAGAATGCAAATCAGTGAGAGTGATGTTATGCTAGAGGCGCTCTTAAAATTTCAGGTGACATGTTTTTATACACCTCACAAGTGAATTTTTTTGTTGGACATTTAGACTGAACTTTCTCACTGTTATGATTAATGCTATAAAATAAAATTTTCAGCATCATGTCCAGATTTAGCACTAATTTCTTGGGTTATGTTTAGAGATACCAACATTTTTAACATTCATTCACTGGTTATGTTCTTTAAACTACTAATAAAAGCATCTGTCCGGGCAGGCATTGTGACATACCTGGTAAAGCCACTGCCTGCGTTTCAGGCATCCCGTAGAGGTGCTGGTTCATGTCCCAGTTGCTCCACTTCTGATCCAGCTCCCTGTTAATGGCCTGGGAAAAGCAGCAGAAGAAGCAAGTGTTTGGGCCCCTGCTACTCTCACATGGGAGACCTGGATGACGTTCCTGGCTCCTGGCTTTGACTGGGCCCAGCTTTGGCCTTTTTGGTCATCTGGGGAGTGGAGCAATGGATGGAATTATTTCTTTCTTTGTCTCTCCCTCTCTCTATGTAACTTTGATTTTCAAATAAATAAATAAGTCTTTTTTCTTTTTAATAAAAACATCTGCCAGGGCCGGTGCTGTGGTGTAGTGGGTAAAACTGCTTTGCTAGCATCCCATATGGGCATCGATTTGAGTCCCGACTGCTCCACTTCTGATCCAGCGCTCTGCTATGGTCTGGGAAAGCAGTAGAAGATGGCCCAAGTCCTTGGGGTTCCTGCATCTGTGGGGGAGACCCAAAAGAAGCTCCTGGCTCCTGGCTTCAGTTCAATCAGGCTCTGGCAGTAGATGGAACACCTCTCTCTCTCTGCTTCTGCCTCTCTGTAACTCTGCCTTTCAAGTAAGTAAGTAAGTAAATAAATAAATAAATATCTGCCATCTCTTGAGTTCTTTGCATTTGCCAGGTGCAATGGAAAATCCTTCACTACATATATATTTAATGTGATTCTCATATTTACTTGAAGAGGTACATATTGCTATTTCTATATTACAGATAAGTGAACTGAGGCTCAGAGAAGTAAAGTAATTTGCCACACAAAAGTTAGAAAAGAGAAGGCAACACAGCAATGTTAGTTTTTTTAAAGATTCATTTATGTCTTTGAAAGGTAGAGGTACAGAGAGAGAGGTGGGGGGGTAGAGTCAGAGAGAGAGAGGGATATCTTCCATATACTGGTCTACTCTCCGAATGGCTGCAATGGCCAGAGCTGGGCTGATCCAAAGCCAGGAACCAGGAGAAAACTCTTCCAGGTTTCCCATGTGGGTGCAGGGGTCCAAGCAGTTGAGCCATCCTCTGCTGCTTTCCCAAGCCCACCAGCAGATAATCTTACCCGCTGTGTCACAGTTCAGGCCCCAACAATGTTATGGACCGGAGAAGAGAGGGACTGAGTCCACGGCCTCAACATCCAAACTCACCTAACTGCTGGTTTTCCTTCAGTCTTTTTTTTTTTTTTTTTTTTTTTTTTTTTTTTTTTTGACAGGCAGAGTGGACAGTGAGAGAGAGAGAGAGAGAGAGAGAGAAAGGTCTTCCTTTGCCGTTGGTTCACCCTCCAATGGCTGCCGCGGCCGGCGCATGGTGCTGATCCGATGGCAGGAGCCAGGAGCCAGGTGCTTTTCCTGGTCTCCCATGGGGTGCAGGGCCCAAGTATTTGGGCCATCCTCCACTGCACTCCCTGGCCACAGCAGAGAGCTGGCCTGGAAGAGGGGCACCGGGACAGAATCCGGCGCCCCAACCAGGACTAGAACCCGGTGTGCCAGCGCCGCAAGGCGGAGGATTAGCCTAGTGAGCCGCGGTGCCGGCCATTCCTTCAGTCAGTCTTATGTTTACACATCTATGTGCACACTGATCTCCCCTATTTAGTCTTTTTTTTTTTTTGAATGGTAGAATCTTTTTTTTTTTATTTAGTAAATATAAATTTCCAAATTACAGTTTATGGATTACAATGGCTCCCCCCCCCCCCATAACTTCCCTCCCACTCACACCCCTCCCATCTCCCGCTCCCTCTCCCATTCCATTCACATCAGTCTTGTTCTCTGCTAGGTCCCTAGTACAGAGCGAAATACTAGGCACACAGGGGGCATTCAAATGCATGTTCTCATCATAAAGATGGTAAGGGAAAGAGTGGATATATCAGTGTAAAGTCATCATTACCAGCAAGGGAAAAACACAATGAATGACTCTCGTGGAGAGTAAGATTTCTGTATCTTTCCCCCCATTCTCATCCGTGACTTCCCAGACACAGGGAGGACATGGTGGGTTAGTGGCATCATTTGTGTAATAAAAGCATCACGATGCAAAGTTAGAACTATGCCTTTATATTTATTCTGCCTCAAAGAGCATTTAGGAAACTGTTTTTCTAAACAGGTTTGAAACATGGCAAACAGAAAAGTGAACTCCAAACAGAAAAAACACTCTGATGAACGGGGCAGAACAGAATCAGAGTAGTAAGGAGAGGTGACATCTGTGTCAGGCACTGCAGTAAATAATCACGTGCTTTATCTATTAGTTCTTTTTTTAAAAATATTTATTTTATTTATTTGAAAGACAGAGTTACAGAGAGAGAGAGAGAGACAGAGAGAGAGAGACAGAGACAGAGAGAGAGGTCTTCTATCTGCTGGTTCGCTCCCCAGATGGCCGCCACGGCCGGAGCTGCGCCAATCCAAAGTCAGGAGCCAGGTGCTACTTCCTGGTCTCCCATGTGGGTGCAGGGGCCCTAGGACTTGGGCCATCCTTCACTGCCCTCCCGGGCCACAGCAGAGAGCTTGATCAGAAGAGGAACAGCCAGGACTCGAACCGGCACCCATATGGGATGCCGGCACTGCAGGCCAGGGCTTTAACCCACTGCGCCACAGCGCCAGGCCCCATCTATTAGTTTTCACAATGACCTTGTACTACTACCTCTTGTATTGTTGTTACCATTTTACAGATCAGGAAAATGACATTTTGATAAACAAAGATAAACAAAATTTCCAAGATGACATGGTAAGAACGTCTCAATTCTGACTCCCAGGGTCTTAATGGCTGTGCTACCAAGACTTCTGGTAAGTGTGGTATCTTCTGCATATGTATGTGTACACACACATATAAATACTTTGGGGAGGGGTGTAGCACAGTAGTTAACGATGCTGCGTGGTACTCTTCATCCCATACCGGAGTGCCTGGGTTTGAGTCCTGCTCCAGTTCCAGCTTCCTGCTAATGCATAACCTGGGACGTAGCAGGTGATGGCTCAAGTATTTGGGGTACTGTTACCCATGTGAGAGATCAGTATTGAATTCTGGATTCTTGATTTTGGCCTGGCCCAGCCCCAA